GTTCCAGAGCATTGTAATTCTTTCTAATTAAGAATGGTTTCACTAGTTCACAATGAAATAGATTTCTTACTTAATTAAGAGAGAAGTATGAAATTTTTCAGATCCAGCCTATGTGCAACTAAATAACCATTTTAGCACCTGCAGTGCTAGGCAGAGACCAGCTCTCTTACTAAAACTTGATATTAGAAAAGGCTTTTTCCCACCCTTTAGTAGAATATTATTTTGAAATACAGGCAATTTTTGAGCTCTTGTAGCTGAGTTACACAGATGATTTACCTGTGTAAATTGAGGAATTTATTTTGTGATTGATAGAAACATTGCTGTATAGTAGTAATAATAAAATACTGTTTATAAAATAACTAACATTACAAACAGTGCTCAAACAAGCCAATAACAAAACCACTAACAGTGAACCACAGGCAAGGAACCCTGAGATGTGAAGGCAGCAATCACACAGCATGGAGCATGGCTGTTCTACGAAAAAAGGAAGAAATGTTGATTTAGAAGCAGCCTCTGAGGTGCAGGTAATCATTAATAACCAGTGCTTATGGATAAACATTGCCAGCCTGGGCTTCTTAACCCCATCCAAGCAGAGAGAGTAAGACTATCAAATTTTACAATTTCACATAGCTCTGTGTGCCTTATTTATAAGCATAAGCATCAGAATTCCATTTTTAAACACACATTTAAAAAACCCTTCCTAAACCAAACAAGCAGGGAATATACAATAAAGCCATGTGAGGTTTTTTTGTTCTAAAATGAATCCATAAACAAAATTCCTTTAACTGTCTTCCAACTAGAAATTCTTGCTTCTCTGTACAACTTCCCTCATGTTTTGAGGTTTGGTGGGTTTGGGTTTTTTGGAGGAGGGATGTCCTTTTTAATGTCAAAGGCCTTATGTTCTACAATGGTTTAATCAAGGACACAAATCTACTTGCTGTCAAGACTAAACATATATAAAATTAACAGCAAGACCTTTCACAAGAACAGTTTTACAATGTAACTGGCAACTGTGCATCAATGTAACAAGAGCCCTAGAAGAGATACTCGTCTCAAAAATTGTTTTGGTTTTTTTTCCCCAGGAATTTTGAGGTATTGCATTAATATAAATGCCTTTAATGTCTTAAAATGCCACAAAGAAAAGCTTCCAATATTTAAGCTCAGCTGAATAGAGTCAAAGCAATCTTTGACTCACACAGTGGCTTATATCCCACATTCAAGTTATTTTTTTTCTTCCACAACAACAATAGAGGAAAAATTAAGGTGGAAATACATGGCAGTTGATGAAAAACATCTTTGAAACTAAATTGCAGTGTATTGTACGATTCAAAATTCCAGTAACAAAGCAACTGCTTTTCATCATAATACACTGGGGTAAAGGCAGTAACAGTCATTTAATATTCCAAAACAATCCTGTCATTTTACACAGGGATGGTTTTCTTAACAACATCACATCCAAAAGGCAAGAAAAGATACATTAACCGAGAGAAGAAGACAACAGGGTGGTCTGAAAATAAACTTTGGGCTCCTCATGCAGGATTAGCTCCCCAACAATAATCACCACCCCAGAGAATCCAGTCCAGTCCTTGGAATAACTGGACTAAGAGGTTGCTGCAGCCTCTGCTCTCCAGGATCCTTGATCAGCTGTGGCTGTTTGATGCAGCACCAAGCAAACACAAGCTCTAATGCTCAACTGAGCGTTGCAGCTCTTTGCTGAACAGGATTGTTCAGAAGGAAGATGAGCAAGACAGGATCACCATCTCCATAATACTTTACAGGATGGATCTACTTGAAGCCAGAAAATAAAAAGACTGAAATCTCCAGGGTTGCAGCATCTCACAAGCCAGAAGCATTCAGCAGTGTTTCTTAGGCAAGATGGAGAAGTTTCTCTCATCTGGCACACACTTCAAATTAAACCCAATGTTAGGGATGTGTGCTCTGCTAAACACATCGGTAATATGGGTCAATTAAGAGAAGTTACTGGTGTTGGTAAAAAACAAAAAAGTCATTTACATCTGCTTTCTTTACAGCAACATCTGTCACTCAGTACTGGAGATATTTATTTTGCCAGATGAACAGTTGTGTTCAAAAATAAACCCAAGTTTTGCCCACCACAGCACACTATAGCTGGTTAGTGGCTGTACATGTTACCAGCCAATCCCTAAATATTGCCACAGCATCTCACAACTATTTCACTTCTGTAACTTCACCTTTCCTGCCTCCATCCTATCCAGAACATCATTATCACACATCAACCTTTTCCACTGACAGCAAGTAAATCAATACATGCTAAGAAATTTCACCAAAAAATCATAAATTCATAAATCACGAATAAAAATAATTATGGCATTATGCATCATCCCAAACACAATCATTTAACCATTTTCTGGACCTTTTGAAACCTTTCTACAACTGAACACTAGTCTGCTTACCACTATTTTCATATGACTTGTACCCTGTGATCATTTAAGCAAATAAACTGGTTTATTGTTTTTTCTAAGGAAAGATGCAGCTCGTCACACAACAGCAATATTTTACTTTTCTTTTACTAACACATTAACTATGACAGTAACAGCACAGCAAGCTGTTGCCAAAACTCCACCTGGGAGTTCTTAACATACCTCAAAAATTCTTTTGTTTCTGTAGATGAGGCAGAATTGTAGCTACTGCGTTGGGAATCAACAAAGTCTAAACAGAATAAAGAATACACTCTCATTTTCTAACCTCTATTTCTCCTCTGGCTTTCAATTTATTCCATCTCCTTGGAAGAATAAATTTCTCAGTAGCCAAGTTTCTCCACCTGTAAAATGTGATGCTTTCTGCAGAGTGAGTCTCACAAGCTGTGTACAGTTCTGAAATTGGGTTGTGTTACTTGCACCTGATTCCAAGTAGGAAACATGTTCTTGCCCCCTAAATACCACTGAATAATGAAGTTTAATACAGTTTTCAGACAAAGTATGAACTGATGTCTGTAAAGGTGAACACATTTTAAAGATGGAAGCTTTCTCTTTGATTACTTTTTAAAGATGGGAGGTGTAAGAAATAGCTTCTCTCTTTTTACTTTTCCGGTTCTATTTATACAATTTTATCCTCAGCAGATAAGTTCTCCCGGAGCTCTGCTTGCCCAGCCCATGCATTGTCAGAGCAGAGGTTACTGAGTAACAGGAAATGTGGCCTCAGCACTGCTGTGTCAGGGTTTATCTCTGCACGGGAGTCACTCCTTGCTCGCTCATTAACTCAGTCACCAAAACCTTTGGAAAGAGTGGCTTGAATACTCCTTAAATTGGTGCACTCGTTGATTTGCCTCTCTGCTTTTACTAATAAACACCAAGGGTGCAGCCCAGTATCCTTGTGTACACCCACCTAAGGCAAATCCTAGGAGACTACAGCAGTTTGCTCCTGGTCCTCAGCCAAGAAATAATTTTAGTGTCCCCCCATCTCCAGCAGGGCCCAGGGTTATCAATAACGGGCCTATTCAAAGCACATCAGTGGAAAGTACAGCAACAAAACCACATTGCAACTGTTCAGCATTGCCTTGAGAGCACAAGTGATATATTCTGGAAGCTGAAAAGTTAAGTTGATGACCAAAACCTTCCTGAAATCTTTCTGTAATTCCAAAAACAATCATTTCACTATGCCTACGTAGTGTGGTATGCTCTCTGCATAGCCCTCAGTCCTAGAAAGAATAAGGTGACACTTGAAATTTGCATCTTTACTGAAAAACCAATAGAAAAATAAAAGAATCACCTGATTTGCATGTAATGACAATGCATATTTTTTCTTTTCCATTCTTAATTCTAAGAATTCAATGGCAACAGAATGAGCCTGATTAGGGTACAGCTCACGGGGAAATGCTACACACAAAACAGCTGTGCCACACTGCCACATTGTCCAAGGTTTTCTGCAACAGTTTGGAGGAATTACTGTAAATGAAAGGGAAACAATAAACAACCTAACCAGACCAACAAACTGCTACATATAACGATCAAAGGCTCTGTGTGAATTATGGTATTCTGAATAAAGCTCATTGGAAATCACATTTCACAGAGCTCCTGAACTACTGAAGAACTGCTCTGGAGGACAGTTACTTCACAAAGAATGTGAACCTTCATCCTGAGAACTGAAATGTTTCTGAGCTACTGCTGCAACCCAAGACCCTCCATCCAGCATACCTCCAATCTCAAGGGATTATTTCGATCTGTAGTGCCAACCATCAGATGAAAATGTAGACTGAGTGCTAAAGTATCTTCTCCAGGTAATCCACAATTCTGATTTTGAAATTTAGACTCATACACATTTGCCTTATTTCATTTCTTTAAGGCATTTTGGCAGTTCCTGTGTGGTTTTCAGTGAGCCTCTAAATTCAACAAGTAGCAAGTCATGAAAACAGAGTGCTGCTACACTGGTCACAAACTGCCCTCTCAGCCCACAAAAGCCACTGCAGGTTACTGAAAGATTACAACAGAAATGCCCTTCCCCATGAGCTGGTGTAAGAAAACATGATGTTACTGATACATCCCAGACAGATGGGCTGCACTAAAAAAAAATCATGAGCCAACCCTTTCTTGCTTATTTATATCTGAGGTTTTAAGAACACTATTCAACATAGTCACTGACTGATGCTGAGCCAGACCCAAAACCTCCTTCACACTCAAAGTCTGGTCTTTTAACACCTCATGGCCATTGCAGAGCATCTGGAAAAATAATTATTTGCATTTATACAATAATAGAAGTACCCCAAGAACCAGGACCCTTGGAAAAATAGAGGTACACCTATTTTAATGCAGGGATCTTAATGGTTTGACATGCCCTGCTTTGTGTTGAGTTTTTGTTGTATTAAGCAAAGGGTGTGGTGTGGTATTTATTCCACAGGCTTTTCCTTTTCTAGACCTCTAGCACTTCAAACAGCGCACTGGGAAAAAATGCAATTGCAAAGGCTGGCCAGTGAGCGTAGGATTACTTCATGAACAGGAAAAAAAAATCCACTGGATGGCCTCACACACTTAGAAATGGCAGAGACAAACACTACTTTTCTGTTCTAAAATATCTCATTGCAGAGGAGAATCTGAACTTTAAAGTCACATGATGATGAAACCATAGGTTTGCTAAACATGCAACGTGTATGGTTTGAATGACTTCAGCCAAGTTCCTGTTTCCCTTACAGAACTGCATGTTTTTTAGTCAGCAAGCGCCTGGATTTTTCACCGTGATGTACAGCAGCTGAAGAAGTTATTGTAATACACACACTCTGCTTTCTACAGAAATAGAAAGGGCTATAAGCTCCAAACAATAATTTCATCTGACATTTCTCAGTGAAAGGCTCAGCCTGTTGTTTCTGTGGAACAATTCCTTGAAAAGGTAAGTGTTTTATATTACTTTCAATATGCAATGTTTTATTCAAGAGGCTCAAATAGTGAAGCTAAGGTTGTAATTGAAAGTTTTTAGTTTTCCCTTTTTTAGCAATGTTTGAACTACACAAAGTAAAATACTGTATCTGGGATAGGTCCTCAGAAAGCAGAAATGTATAATGACTGAAATTTGTGATGAAGCTGGGCATTAAGTAGAGAAAATGTGAAGAGTTTTCCAGCAAGTACTTCACTGCCGTTGAACCAATGGGAGGCGGATGATGAAATACTGTTCAGTGGTGTGGAAAAACAACTCCAACCATTGCCTAAAACCAGTCTTTTAAAGGATGGACATTGTCAGATGTCACCCCACTACAGGCATTGTATAGGGCAGGAAACAGTTCAGGGATTATGTTTAAGTTACTGTTAGTTCCTTTATATTCTAGAAAAGTGAAAACAAAAGCTTTCGGTTTCTCAGGAACTGCTACTTTTCAACAAGTTAAGGGTACGAGTTCTTAAGTCCTTACAACTTCAAATACTTGCCCAAGAGTAGGAATTGAGCTCTTACAAGAAAGATGAATATAGTATTTCACATTTTAGCCTCATACACTGCAAGCCTCCCCCCATCTTTTAACTTGGCAGATGTAGTGTGATCAGAAAGGACATCTCCCCCCAGATCATGTGTTCTCTCAAGTCGATGCAGGACAGCCCCACCAAGAGCAGAGTTTCACAAGCAATGTGTATTTCTTTATGACTGGATGAAGGAATATTTTCCTTCCAAAGGCTGGTGACAGAATACAGAAAGACTGCCCTACCAAACCTTTTACAGAGGAAGAGTTCTGGCTGCCAAGGGAGAAACTCCCCTGGTTTAGGAGCTCTTCCTTCTAGACTTTAAATAAACACAAGTCTCCTTGAAACCAAGCTCCCCTTTTACAAAATTTAAACATTAAAGTGGGGATGGGGAACCCAAAGCCAATGGAATTTTAGGGACTAGGTCCCCTCAGCACTGAAAGTCCTTTCACAACTTGCTATTTTTAAACTGCTTTCTGAACACTGTGCTCACTGTGTTGGAAGTGAAGGGGAATGTATCCACCGTGCTTCAGAAAGTGAAAATCAAACATATTTGCTTTAACTGCTGAATTATAGGAAGGAAACAGGGATAGAAAGAGGAAAAAAAATCCAAGAAAAAAGTGAGACCACGTGAAGTTAAGGAAGGATTTGTGGTGTGACTGATGGCAAATTAAAGTAAGGGGGACCTGAGATAATGGGACAAAATACTGGAACAAAGACATAAAGACAAACCAAGTAGCATATTGCAAATTTCCCTCAGTAACTAATCATAAAACAAACAGAAATAGACCTGGCTTCTGCCATAGTTACCATGACTAAATGGAAATAAAAAAGTCAGTTTATGTCATAGGATGTTGTAAGAGGAAAAAACAAAAATAATAATTCAGGTCTGGAGGTGTTTGCAGTGTAAGATTGCAGATTCCACTAAAAGAGTAGAGGACTTGTGTGCTGCTGTCAGCCCCTCCACCCACACCACAGCAGAGCATAAACATTACGTGCATTTGGAAAAAAAAAAAAAAAAAAAAAAAAAGAATGTCCCTGCAGTAAATCCAAGAACCAGACAAGATCTGAGGGAACACCAGGTCTTCTTACAGCAGAGGAAAATGACATAATAAATTCCCTGGTTTTTTTTATGATGGAAACTCTAAGTATTTTGAAAAAAAACCATGCAGCCAACTGTAGGAATATTCTGTAATAAGACATCATGTGAAAAATAAGCCACCCTCTGCTGCTCCCATGGAACATGTATTTTTATTTTAAATTAAATTAAATTAGTACTACCAGAAGTCTGTAAAAATTTGCAAACATCAATACTATTATAGCAAAAGTTGTGAGCTCCTTCATCCCATCATTATTCTAAGCATGAACTTGATGCTTTGGGAATGTTTTAGAAGTGGAAAGAGAATTTCTAAGAGCTGCTTCACATGAAAGATGAGCACCTTACAGGAATCTCTACAGCTAGTCACTGTGATGTAAACAAATGTACAGAGAGGTTGTGACATCTGGGACTATTCCCAATCCATCAACTGCAGGGGCTGCAAGGAACTCAGGCTGTTCTGGGCTGGATTTATAACCCCAGCTTGAAAACCCTAATGCAGCCACTTCATGAGGTGGTTAACAATGCATCTTGGACACAACTGCTTTCTTGGCCTCTTGGAAAGCGCTATGCATCCTCAAATTTCACTGAAATAATTAAGAAGAGACAATTAAAAAAAAAAAAAATAATTAAAATTGCCAGAAGGTCAGAAATATACAGGCAGGTGTGACCCTTTTGGAGAGAATGCACGTGTGTTCCAGTTTGGAGGAAGAACTGGCCATGTCTGATGGCACCCCCTGCACACGAGCCTTTCCTACCACAATCTCAGCCCCAAATTGCTCTTTTTTACAGTGAGACACCAGAACCAAATATGAAAAGAGTCCCTGACATTATCACTGTGATTCTTTTAAGCTTCTAGGAATAATTTAAGGGGGAAAGTTAATAACTACAGCATTGACTTTAATCTTGCTTGCCAAACCAAAAATATTTCAGAATTGGCTACAAACTGCTAAGAGATATTTCTTCTTCTGTAATAAACACTTTATTGAATTCAAACAAGAATTATATTCACACTGACTAGCCACAGAAAAGCCGCAAACAGCTTGCTCTTTTGGTAAAATTTTGTTTGTGTGGGAATCCTATGGTGATTCCCTTTAAAGCAGCATACCTAAACATTTTTCCCTAGCTCAGAATTCTAATATTTACACTGATTATAATTATAAAGACATGGTTGCACTGTTATTTCCCTGAAGTGAGCATGTTGATTCTAGGCTGAAGAGATTCCTTTTGTTTAGTTTAAATCCTTCCTCAGATGAGGTAATTTAAAAGACATACACTTAGGTGAGAATAATAGTATTTCAATGGAGAGGAAGCATCAATGTTAATTATTTAACAATAATGTTCATGTCTGTGGTTACACCTGAAACTGTTTCAAGCATCCGTCTTGACACCAAATGAGAACAAAACACATCCTTAGCCTCTGTTTGACACTGGGTTATCAATAACACACCACATGTGCAAGCAGGTGGGCACAGGAAGGGAAACCAAGATGATGCACTTGCTTGCACAGTAAGCTGCAGTTACTGGAATATGCTGCATTAAGCCTTACTTTGTCTTAAATACCCAAAGAGTATTTAAATAAAATTAAAAATACATTGCTATGGTCATCATTTAACCCAGTATCAGTACCAAGGCCAGGTCCTGAGCAAATTTATTCAGGTTTTGGCATCTTTTTTTGCCCCTGTAATTTGATAGAAGGTTTCCATATGATTTCCTGTGAAACCCCAAACTGCATCCTTTGTTTCCTGTGCAATGATGTTACCAGAAAAATTGAATGTTGCTGAATTATTCTAAGATTCTTTGCAACGACAGTGAGCACAGTTAATTGGCCCATAAAAGCTGTTGAGAAGATAATGGAGATGCTCACAGTACCAGAACTGAATTCTTCCATTCAGCCCTGCAAAAGTCCTGATGGAATTTGCAGGTAACAGTGTAGGGTCTGGTGGAACAGCTCTAAATGTAAACCTTTCCTAACCTTGAATCCACAGTATGGGATGTTAACAGAGTTTCTGTTGGACACAATCCTTCACCAGATTAAGTTTCAAATCCCTCTTCTAACAAAAGATCAAAATTTGACTTACAGTTTCCTTCATTCTTGAGATTCCTCCCAAGTATTTAAGAAATGAATTGTAGAAGTTAAAGTTTCACACACAAGAATTGCTCATATTTAATAAACTACTTTTAAGCTTGAAAATTATATTGACTCTTAACTTGCTTCAGACACTTCTGCATGTTTTGCCCATCAATTCTTCCCTACATGGTGCACCCCAGCTCAGAGGCTGGAACAGTCTGACCAGCCAATTTTCCCTCCTGAAAGACCACCTGTAACACAAAACATCTTCCCTCTGTGCATCAGTCCTTCCTGAAAATAACCTTCTCTACAAAGGAAGAAACTGTCTTTAAAAAGGGACAAAGAACACTGCTGAATCAAAACATAACTCCCTGCTTTTCTATAAATGAAATTATAATTATGTAAGATTATATACACATTTAATCAAAGCCACTTTGATAAGTCAACTTTTCTAATTAAAGCCAGTATTAGAATTCTAATTTTGAGGAGAGATTAGAAATATCAGAAATGTGAAGTAGTGTCAGAGGTAACAACCATAAATTAACTGTCAAACAGTATTAAGACACTGACTTATCTATAATGAGCACTGCTTAAAAACATTAATGCATCTCTATGAATTTTCACCAATTTAACATTACTTTCATTTTAAGAGTTAACATCACTAGAATCCCCTTATGGAAAAGGCATTATGTACAAGTAAGTATGCAGCTTCTTGCCACTGTGACTTATAGAAACTTCTGTAAGGAGAACTCCATGGTCCTGTCTTTGCCTGCTTGTTCAGAGCAGCTTTAGGTAAAACAGAACAAAGTAAAAACATCACAGTCTAACCCAAAACTGGAATCTCTGTGAATAAAGAAGATCTTCTTTCCCAGAAAACATTTTACTCTGTATAAAAGCCCATTTGTTTAACCTTTTTCCAGGGCTGAGGAACATCTTTAATCAGACGTTCCAAATTAATTAGGGATAGTGGGTTCATTATCTCATGTTTAAGTATATTTATTCTTTGCAACTAAAAAAAGTATTATTTTCTGCATCAATCAGTACAAGGTGCACAGAAATTTCCTCTTAGAAATTAAGCTAATTATGCTTTTAGGTGGTCTGGAAAATGTATATATCCATATCCATTACAGTTTTTCACTAGTATATATTATGTTCTCATAAAAGCTTTTTGTCTGAAAAAAAAGGAGCCTCCAAGCATTTATACAGTAACAAAATCATTATATCAACATATCACAGAGTCATTATAGCTAACAGCCTATCCATATAACTCTCAAAATTCCCTATTTCCAGGAATTTATAATGCAGCTGTAATAAATGGTCCTTGCTAAAACTTTATCAACAGGTTTATAATGCACCAGTAACCGTTTTCTCAAAGTTCAGCATGCAGAAAAGCATTATTTTTTGCTGTTTTATGCAACAGCTACATCTAAGAAATGACAGTGTTATTAATGTATAAGGATGTTTTAGTATAAAAGCAGTTTGTTCATAACAGTTCTTAAACACTGTCATTAATTTTAGACGGGCTCCTCAGTACAGACTGCAGTTATGAAAGGCTTTTTTTCAAAACAGAAAGGAAGCAAAACTAAAACAAAGAAAGGAATGTGGCTCGTGCCTCATATTGTGATTATCTTTGCATTTTCTTCAGTATGTGGTGTGAGACTGCAGCTGGGTTCAAATGATACAAAATTCCCACCCTTGTGACAGGACAGAGGAGCTTTTTGTGGCTGCAGCTGCTGCCCACACGCTGGATTGCCCTGCAAACCGCCTTGGCCTTTTTTGGCGAGATGGGGAGGAAAAGCAGCTCCACCTAAACAGTGCCAGCTCCTTCCTCACCCACTCAACAGCCACTGTTCCATCTATTCCACAGGCAACATCAGAGTGCTGGCTCCTGGCTGCCCACAAAGCTGAGCTGCAGCAAGTGAGGGAAAGGGGGCAGTGGTAAGAGCAGAAACCACATGAAAAATAAAAGGGCAGATTTCTCTGGTTAAAAATAATTTCAAGCTAACTTGGGTAATAACACAGGAGTGTAAAATCCACCAAGAAATTACTGCATTTATTCTGAACAAACGGTTCATACGCCTGACTGCACATAATATATTCATTGCAAAAACAGGCATTAAAACTATACTTTAAAACTTGTTTCACCTTCCTTTTCCAGTTCAGTTTCAAACATCACTGAGCAGGAAATAAGCACAGTGTGGAGAGAAAGATGACTTCTCACAACATGACGTGGATCAGCTACCCAAGCAGAAGCCAGCCTTTCACCTCCCCAGAAGAAATCGAAGCTGTCATAGCTTCTCAAAATATCATATCCAGACTTATGCACTGTTACATTGCATTTTTTGTACCCACAGGATTAATAGCCAGCATATGTATTATGATCATTTTCATAAAGAATCATTTGCAGAACAAAAGAACAAGCTTGGACTTACTTCTGCTACACTTCACCATCAGCAATATCATAATGATTTTTTTATCCTTTACTGTCATCACTAGACCTGACTATTTAATAACAACCCACCTCGCCTGTAGCGTACTGTCATTTTTTTTCAACTTTGCTTATTTCAATTCTCAGTATGCTTTCATTTTGACACTCCTCACACTATTACTGGAGAGATTTCCACCACGGACTGCTCTCTGCAAAGCCACCCAAAGACCCATCCTGTGTGTTGGGCTTATACTCACATACACCTTGTGTTTGTCTCTGACAGAGGCAGTGCTGGTTGGCACTGATAATTATCAGCTGAAAGCACATTGCCAGTTGGATCCTTTATTTGCGTGGCCTGAATACGAGATTGTTAAATTCACCTTTGGGTTTGGGATCCCATCATTACTCCAGATCCTCTGTTTTACTGTTCTATGGGCTAAAGAAGCACCTGCTGGAGCTCCAGCCTTGCAGCAGCACATCCGTGCTCACCTCGCTGTGTATGTGATCAGCGTGACGATATTTATTTGCCGCCTGTTTTATAACGTCATGATTCTCTTCAGGACAACCCTGAAACTACAGAGGAGCATTGGAACTACGAAGAACGAGCTTGTGATGAACATTGCAGAAATAGTGTTGTTCTGTGAGAGCTGTGCTAGTTTGGCAGTTATACTCTGTTTTCATAAACCATGCAAGGATGAAGTGCTTAAAGTCATGCAGAAGTGCCGAAGGAAAACCCGCGCCAACAATCACCTTGAGATAGCAGAGACAGCCACGACCCATCAAAGTGGGTCTCAGTAATACCTGCTCTTCTAGACAAATGTCAATCCACTTCGCTTTTTAGCTTGTGGGTTTTGGTTTGGTTTTTCACTTCCTCAAAAAAAGGGCAATTGTTCCTTCTTTAGAACCCAAACCTGGCCTATCTTACAGCTAGCAGTACTGGAAGAAAAAAGATGGTCAGTTCTAGTACTTACAGTGATCTGTGAGAAACCTTCCAGGGTCTGGGGCTGTTTGGGGTTTTTTTCATATATACATATATATTTAAATCATCTGGTTTACTGCAAGCATTTCTTTTAAGTCACGTAGAAAGATGAGTACTGTTGCCATAGAGCTGCGCTTCTGTAATAATATCAATGCCCTAGCAGAGCTGCAAACAAAAATGTGGCAGAAAGCAACAGTGAAAAAAGGTCAAAATCCACAGTCAGAGCATTTTCTCAGGTGTGCTTCCTCCTTTGACTTCTTACCCTTCAAAATACTTATTTCTATAACACCAGTATATAACTGGAATACATAATTCCAGTGGCAGCAGCAGAGAAGTTTTTGTCTGAATTCCTATACCAAAAAAAAAAGAAAGAAAGAAAAGAAGAAATCAAATTAATGGAAACACGGGTCCATAAAGAAAAGCTTTGGGTCCTTTGTGAGGCACTGAACTGGAAAGATCAACAGGATGGCTAATTAAAACTTTGTGCAAGAATGAAAGCCTTTTGTTAATGTACTCTCAGCTTCCACTTTGCATTTAGACTTACACAATTATTGATTTAAGCCATTCCTGATGAGTTCATTCAGAAGTAAGAAGTCATTGGAAGAGTCACATTCAGTAATACACTAACTGAAAAACAGAGAAAAGCCAGCCCAGAACAGAAGAACTGAGGTGTATTTCTAAGAAGGCAAACAAAAACCAAGCCCCAGTTCCTAACTGGAATCAAGGCTCTGCTGGAGACAAGATAAAAGCATTGTACATTTAGATAAGAGTTGATGGGCAAATGGTGCAAAAAGAGGGAAAAAATGTGAATTAGAATAAAACAGCCGTGGTGCAGGAGTTTGGATGAAGCCCTGCAGGATCAGTAGCTGATGCAGGCTGAGATGGAGGTGCAGAGCTGTAAATGCTTGCTTTGAGCATTGTTACTGCCACCAAATCTGGCCAGGAGCCACATTAGGCGTTTGCTTCAGCTTCATCCTCTTAGAAAGGTGGAGAACACGGAAACAGGAAAAGCACAAAATTGTACTAAAACTTGGATAAGGATGTAGTTTTAGATAGCAAAGTTATAAAAATACAGCACTGTGATGAGGAAGTAACTTGAAGAGTTCCAAGAAAAGCTATTTTGATGATTAAATCTGTGCCTTTGTATGAAACCCGGGTGCTAAAGGAACAGAGAGGGTTTTTTTGCAATTATATCCTTTGAAAGATCTTCCTGATGGGGTGCAGATTTGTGTGGGGAGCTGGTGTAAATTAGCATGGGCTGCCTAAGATGGAAAAGCAGGAATGGATTGATCAAGATGAACATCTTTCACAAGACAACAGCCAAGTGCAGAAATGGAAGAACAACAATCCTATAGAATATAGATCAAGAATCTAGAGATACAGATCTAGTCTTGGACATCCAAATCCTGGAACGTATGGACCATGACTGCATCACATGCAAATAAAGGGCAATGTATAATCCCACTATGCCTGTAAGGACCAACATTTCCACAAGATGTAAAAATCAGCTGGTAAGATGTCTGCATTACATTGTGTCAGCCTGTTCCCCTGCTCAATTTTGTTCTGCTGCCAGCATGAACAGATGGATAATTAAAGAACTCTACATATAAACAGATCATTATAGAACGTGGTCAGAAAGGAAGTACGTAGGTAAGAATCATCTCTTTGAACACAAGAGCCAATTTTGTACTTGTGAAAAGAATTCTCAGATGGCATCAGGTTTTGTTTTGCACCTGAGAAGAGGGAGATTAAACAACACAGACCAAAGATCAGCCATGCAGAAAGAAGTCTGAAGAGATGAGTTGTAAGAGCTGTACATCAGTGAAAAAGCTGACAGACTGAGTGAAAGAATATGTCAGAAGATGCAAGCTGTTTATCCCAGCTCAGAAAGTCCAAGTTTCAGCTGCACTGTGGATTAAGGAGGGTATTTTGTAGTATGGGAATTATGTGCAAATGATTCTACTTTATTTACAGCTTCCATACATTTTATATTTAAGGATGAAAGAATAAATATTGTGTTGTTTCTGAGTCCTGAGTTACTTTGAAAGGTGCCTAAAAGAAAATGGAGCCAGTAGAAGTTGGCTGGGACCTGGAAAATGGTCTGATGGTGATTGAATGCCAGTAACACACCTGTGAGGAGCCACAAGGCTGAGCAGGGCAAGAAAGTGCTTCATGATACTCTCAGCAGAGAACACAGCTAGAGCAGAGCCATACCCAAGTTTCACAGACAACAAAAACCTGTAGGGACCTACTGCCAGATGTAGGATCTGAGAGTGAGTACACCTTGTCAGACTGAACAACTGTGTGAGGCTGTGAACACCCCTGGGTAAAGCTGCTGGCTGAGAGATAGGAGTACATGTACTGTGATCTCCTCCCTGTCCTTGTGAAAAAAACCTGAGTATTTTCTGGATGGCTGGTTATATTGCCATGAAGAAATCTGTATAATGAAAAGACTTTGCAAGTGAATACAAGAGAACAAAGGTAAAAAGGAGGGAAGAGGTTGAAAAATGCAAACCAGTAACCCAAATAGTTATGAGTATGAATTTTAGCAACACAGAAATGTTTTCACAGAATTATTATTGATAAAGTCAGAGCTTACATTAAGTTCAGGACAATGAACATGTGGTTCTAGAGAAAATCTACTTGCATCCAGCTAGAATATGAGAGCAAACACCCTCATGTGCAACAGGGAAGGAACACAAGCAGTTCCCCAAAATCCTTCTAATATAGTCTGATATGCGAGAAAAAGCAGCTTTAGCTAAGATTAAAAGTAATAATTTTTAAATAATTAATATTCCAAAGAATATTTTCAAGAACAAAATAAAATCTCCATGCTCTGAGATTTTTTTCCCCTTATGCAAGCAGCAGCTCAGTTGAACCCTTACTTCTCCCAGGCTTCACCCAGTTGTGAACAGTATGTTCCAGAAGAAATCCAGCATGTATTTTTATAGGCAGGCTGTCAAAATTAACTGAAGGGATATACTGGAAAGTTCAAAGAAGAATATTTTACTTCTGTCTTGATAATATTTGTAGCTTTCCACAACTTCGCTCAGCATTTGAAAAAACCACTTTGTTCAGTAGAAGAAGAGAAATGATCAGGCTGCTGAAGTTAAAGCTTGAATTTCTTGAGTTGGTAACACATTTTGGAAAAGAACTCAGGACTCATCGTTACTGAACCAGCTGGCTCAAACTTGATCTGATCCCATTAACAACATTTGAGCTAGAGACTGGATGTGCACACTTGAATCACAACTTGAGCTGCTACATCCCTACACGTATTTCTAAGCCTGCCCTTGGTTACATTCTAATATTAAAGACACTGAAAGGGCACTGGTTTTATTTCTTGATTCTGAGGCAGCTGCAGAAGATTTGGGGCAGGGTGAAAACTCAAGCAATTCAGCCAAAGTAAGTACTCCATATAATGTGTCCACCATCTATGCTGCACTACAAATAAATTCACTAATGCATAGAATGAAAGAATGTATTTCACTTCCATGATACAAAGTGTCCAGCAAAGGACTGCCAGACTCAGCCATAAATAAAAATTATTGCAGTTTTGCAAAAAAAAAAATAAAAATTTAAACAGCATTTGAATAGAGCCTGAAGTCCTGTGATGGGGCTTTGAGCACCTGATTTAGTGGAAGGTGCCTCTGCTCATTGGCAGAGGGCTTGGATCTACATGGTCTTTCAACTTTCTTCCAACCCAAACCATTCTAGGATTCTGTGATCTTTCACTAGACAACATTCTGTAGCCCCATTTAGTGAAATTTTTAGATTATCCCTCAAGGGTTTTGCAATATATGCTTTAAGAAAAATAAAAAAGTTTTACCAGAATAGTTTGAATGGGTTTGAATGGGTGTTGTCCCTGCAAAAGGAAAAGGCTGAACTTTTAAAAATTATTTTTAGTAAGAAAAATGCATTCTCAGAATTACTGGCAACTGAAAAGCCTAAATACACAAAATACACTCCATATCCAAGGTTTTCTGAAGACACAGAAACAATTAATTCCAGCTCAAACTAAGTTTGATTATTTGCAAGAAAGATTATTTGCTACTGAGGCTGGACAGGATAAAGTATGAGAGTGCTCTAGAGCAGGGTAACAGATGCTGATTTCATTCAGTGGTTGAAAGAGGTGAGAGAGAATCTGGACATCAGTCTACCTGGAAAACCTTGTGAACAATACAACAGCATCCATATTTCCTCTAGAAATAGTTCCAGTAGAGATTTCTACACAAATCTTATTTCTTCTGCAAAGGGTTAAAGTGTAAGCATTCCAATGCAATTTTAATTTATGCCTCCTTCCCCTTCCATGCAATACAGTACCTTACTTTCTTCAGCTTTCTATACCCTTGCCCTGTTTAATTTCTCCAGGACTCAACAGCTTCATGCCCAAAACAATTCCACACTTCTAACAGAACCAAGAGTCTCTTGCATCTTAGAGGGCCTATCCAGCTGGAGAGGCTGCCAGAGTTCTAGCACAAGATGTGATGCATCAGACCTCTCAATGATGTTCTCTCCCATACTCACAACCTCCCACTTTCCTTCTCCTCAGCTGCCACCTTTTAGCAGCACAGCAACAGGCACATATGTTGAAGTCTGCTAAATTACACAGAGTATCTTCTATTATACCCCAGATTCAGCCTCTTGGTGCACTGAAGTACATCACAACTACACCAGTGCCCCTGAAAGACTCTCTGGTGTTGATGTGTTTACTGAGATATTTACAGAGCTTTGCACATTGAGTGCTACATAAAAATAAACCAGGAAAAATCCAAATGCTGGATTACTGAGGTCTGAGATTATACAAATGTGAGTTGTTTTCACACATGTCCTCAGCAACAATCACAGTAAGGTAAAATAGGTGGAGCCTCAAGATTCAATACTGTCACAACATGAAAGCAGTCATTGTAAAGTCCTGTGAAATACCTGTCACTGCCAGGGAAAATGCTAAAGTACAACGTTCAGCAGCTGCTAAAATTACTTTGAAGCATTTTATGGAATATGGAAATGACAAACAGTGAGATTAACACAGATTAATCAGTAACAATAATTCGACTGCATAAACAAGGGGCTGAAAATGCTGCGATCTGTTTTAGGAAATGGGATTCAGAGGATTCGCACGATCATCTCATAAAATTAATACAGAACCCATTAATTACAGTGTAATAGTACACAAAATTACCACAACACTAAATATGACCTCCTAAGCCTCACAGTTCCTCTAGCACAGAAAACAGCTCCTTCATGGATATTTTGAAAGAGAATTTTTTTATAACTCTGGAAGTATGGCAAAGTGACACATTTCTTACCATGAATTCAAACAAGAAAATTATCACTCAGAATTATACATTTTAATAGTAAATCAGCTAATATTCACAGGTAGACAAGCAAGGACAGACAAACCAGCTGATTATCAAATCCAGGCCCCCATAATAACAAACATCTGACATCCAGAAGTGAACATTACACATGAAGAAAAGTAAAAAATCCTTCAGGCCCTTGCAAGATGAGTGGAAGCTCTGAAGGACAGAACTAAGTACAGCAAAACCACATGATCAACAAACAACAATAAAGACTCTTTTTAATCCTGTTCTTTCATGACAGTAAAAAATTAAGACCTTCAAAGCTGGTATCACAAGATTTTTCTAACATTTACAATATTCCAGTCCTACAATGCAATCATATTTGTACACATCTCAAAGCAAAACACTTTAGGCTCTGTCCTTATCACCCTGTATTAAAACACTTCATTCCACATACAGTGGAAATCTTCTGCTCAGAAAAATTTTACCAGCATCAATCTGCATAAACATTCTTTTAATCTAAATAATAACTGATTCCAGAACTATTTATGAAGAGCCATCATGCAAGAAGATCTTTAAAAACATTTTAGTAACACTGCCAAAATCCTCTGTTCCTATGCACAGTGTGTTGCAGAAAAAACAGCAAATCAATTATTTGCCTCAATGAAGGCAAAGGGCTTCTGCTCCCAAAATAAAGAACCTCTGCTTCACTTTCCTACAGGTGAGGTCCTTTGTAACCTAGATATTTGACCACTGTAATTGGTGTCAAACATCTATTATAATGACATGGTAATTGCTTACTGCACACTTCTGAAACTGTCACATTGTCTTCCTGAAGTCCTAAATGCTGAGATCCCATTCATCTCAATCCAGCAGCAGCAGAATGCTGCATCCACGTACAGCAAAGCCACTCACGGCACCCAACCTTCAGGTGTCAGATCAACATAACCACAGAAAGCAACTGCCACAAATAAAATATTGCTCTTTTATGAGGAAGGTTTGACTTTCTTCCCGTTCTAAGAATTCCAGCGACCAGTAGGTGGTGTTACTGGAAACGTCAAGTAGGTTTTTTTACCCCCTGCGGATGAAATGCAAAACTCCACCTGCAACACTGGTGTTTAATGCGAAACTGAGGCTTCTCATTCTCTGTAGGGTAAGCTTATTTCATCCATGTGATTTTGAGCTGAGCAATTCTAAGAAGTAAGAGAATGACAACATAAACCTGAAAATTTAAATAACTAACAGGCAAAATGGGATCGACTTGAAGGTAGGAAAACTGAAATTTATCTTATCCGTTTAGCAAATGACCCATCTGAGATGCTTGGTGTCTTCAATCAGGTATTTCCCTTTAGATTGCCAAGAGGCTTTGAAAAACAGCACAAATATTAATTGCTTTATATCTATGTAAAATAAACTTCATTGCAATTTGCAAATAAATATCTTAATTATTGCTCAGCTGAGCTCTAGATGTGAACGGACTGTAAAACTTAAAAAAACAACAGAGGCAGAGAGTGCAATGACCATTAGGCAAAATAAAACTGACAAATATGAGAGAAAAGACGTTTGAGTAGTTCTAGTAAAAAAGAAACCAGCAGAATCAGGGTTAATTCTAGCCTTATAAGGCTGTTCAGCAGCACTTCAACTGCACACAAATTAGAACAACCCTGGGAATCTATAAAGCTTGTTTTATTGCCAAGAACATGCAGCAAGATCTGCATTTTGCTCTTGTAAACGATCCTTTATTTAATAAGTTTTAAAACAGAATAGATTTTTACGTGATTTTTGTTTTTACTGCTGAATCATCAACAGGTGGCATCCAGTGCAGCTCTGCACACCTAAATGCAAGTTTTTACCGAGAGGACAGTGGAAGTTGGCACATCCATTACGTGTGTACCCAGCAAGGAGCAGCCTGCTGCTGTCTGGAGCAAAATCAGCTCGGGAGAAATGGAATTAAGGTAAAATAAAGTGTTTCACAGTACATAGTTACCTGTAATGCTTTTAATTGCTTGGCTTTCGGCGGCCATTCAGATGTAATTAAAATCTGACCACGGACAGACCTTTTAAAATCAATTGCTCAGGCTGTTAACTTATCTTTTACTGTATTTAAATCTGTTTTACTGCCTTATTTACAAATAAAAGGCTGTTACATAAAGACAGTAGTTTATGTCTGACTTCCATAGCTTCCTGAAAGAACTGAACCTTCTAGTAAGTGTAATTTCATATGGATATTTTAGCATGAAGATTTACACTATTAAAATTATTCAAAACACAGCAACAGCTACTGGGAACTTACGCCTATTTCACTGAGAAATCGCAGCTCTGGAACCTATATCTTTATTTAGGTATCTGTAGCTATTTCTGATGACTTGAATACATTTAAGCAAAATCAGAGCTGTATTTCTGACTAAAACTATTCTAACACTCCTACTCCACTAGTGGTCTGCTCTTTCATCCCCAGGATTGCACACTGGCAGGATTTAAGTCATTAAAATGTGGAAATGTGCATGAATTTTATCAGCAAACAATTTAAAAAACATATTTTCATATAAACAAAAATCAGTGGTTTGATAGTATGATGCAGATTAAAGCAATTCTAAATATTTAAAGCTTAACACAAAATAGACTGGTTTATAATTTTCTTGCTGTTTTATTTGTTTGGGGTGTCTTTTGTTTGGTTCTTTCTTTTTTTAAATAAACTTCTAGCAATGCTTCAAGTGCAAGACATTCAACATTTAGAAGTAAACAAATCAGATAACTGGTATTTTCCATTACTACCCGGAAGTCAGTGAAACATAATAAATCACAACGGGGAAAAAAAAAAAAGAGTATAATAATGTTGGTGTAAATCAATATGCTGCTTGTATTACCTTCATTTCTAAAATTTGCCTTTCCCTCCCACTGAAAGCAGCAGGAACCAAGTGCTTTTCGTCTCTGTTGCCTGCTCAGCCCAAGACTCTGCTATTTATTAGCCTTACAAGCTGATAGAATAAACATATATCTATATATATACAGTTTTTTCTGTATTAGGTTAAATTCACTCATTTGATTTCTCTGTATTTCTTCATCCTCTAATACTGAACCCCTGACAGGCATACACAATTTTAACAGACCTGCCCTCAAAATGTATTTTGATCTAAAACAAATTTAAATTCTTTTAAGTGAGACTTTGCATTTATGTTATAGAACATGTTTCTACAACCTCAGCTGTGATGTTAAGTTAGCAGACGCTAACTGCACATGGAACAGTGCTGGAATATGAGATTAATCATTTTCCATTTGCAAATTGCAGGTCCAAGGATGTTCATTGATTATTAAAAGAAAACAAATGGAGCTAAAATTCCACTGGCTTCCAGCTTGCATGAAGAAACACTGTTGCTGAAAAGCTTTTATTAGAGACCCAAGTACCACCATGGTAAAAAGATTCCTATATGATCTTAAGGCATACAGGAACTGCAAATTCTCTCATTTAAAATGTATATAATATCCTGTAAAACAAATTAAAACACTCACAATTTGTAGTATTATATTTCAGTCAGTTTTAAGTCTAATTAACCTGACTTTTAAATCATTTTAATTTCCTATACAAAAGTCTGTATCTTTTTAAATTCCAATCAAAAATGCTTACTGGGAATTCAGTTGAAACCAACCAAAAATCTGATTTTCTTTGTATTGCCACCAAACTGTGAGTACTAATACCTTTTCTGCAGAGATTTTAACCATGGAAACTTATTCTGCCTCAGTATCACCTGTTATATGTAACAGCACAACTTTTAACCTGAACGGATCCCATTTGTGTAACGAAAGCATATCCTCTAGATTAGCTGATAAATCAGAACACCAACAATATGTTATTGGCCTTTTCTTATCGTGCCTTTACACAATATTCCTTTTCCCTATTGGTTTTGTGGGAAACATTCTGATACTGGTTGTCAACATTAGCTTTCGGGAAAAAATGACAATCCCAGACCTTTACTTCATAAACCTGGCAGTGGCTGATCTCATTCTAGTGGCCGATTCTCTCATTGAGGTGTTTAATCTTGACGAGAAGTATTACGATATCACCATCATTTGTACCTTTATGTCTTTGTTCCTTCAGATCAACATGTATAGCAGCATTTTCTTTCTGACATGGATGAGTTTTGACAGATACCTAGCCCTGGCCAAAGTAATGAGGTCCAACCTCTTTCGCACTATGCAGCACGCTAGACTGAGCTGTGGGCTCATATGGATGGCATCCATTTCAGCAGCTCTAGTCCCATTTACAGCCGTGCACTTACAACACACCGGAGAGGTCTATTTTTGTTTTGCAGATGTAAAAGAAATCCAGTGGCTAGAGATAACCCTGGGGTTTATTATCCCCTTTGTGATCATCGGTCTGTGTTACTCATTAATTGTTCGAGTCCTTATAAAAGCACACAAGCACAGGAGTCTCCGTCTGCGGCGACAGAAGGCTCTGCGCATGATTTTTGTTGTTGTCCTGGTTTTCTTTATCTGCTGGCTCCCTGAAAACGTCTTTATTAGCGTCCAACTTCTCCAGAGGAAAAGCGAGCCCATCTCTTCAAACAGCCCATCCTTCAGGCACGATTATCCTTTAACAGGACACATTGTGAACCTAGCAGCTTTTTCTAATAGCTGCTTGAACCCCTTAATTTACAGTTTTCTGGGGGAAACCTTCAGAGACAAACTGCGACTGTACATTGAACAGAAAACAAAAATGTCAACACTGCATCGCTTCTGTCAGGCTGCCTTAACGTCTGTCATTCCTGACAGTAATGAGCAATCAGAGGTCTGATATAGTGTCACTGTATAAAACATATGACTGTGAAGTTGTGCAAATAGTGAACAAAATGCTTGCTACTAACAGAAAAAAAGTGCATTTGTGTGTGTGTATATATATATTGTATCGCTCTATTGAGTATTGAAGGTTTATAGTCAAAATGTTTTTATGACAAGACTTTAATGTAGAAGAATATGTTTTAGTCAGATTTATATTTAATTACGAACAGGATTATTAAAAGCTGAGCACTGAAGAAGCTTTATTTTGCATTATACATGTATGAATGACAATGTAAGAGAAAATTTTATCAACTTAGGAAGACTCTAGATGTAATCTGATTATCAGAGATGATACTTTGCTGGTGTATATAAGGTACTTCCACTGAAATAATGAAGCTGCTGTAACAGTGAAGAAAAATCATTACAACATATTGATGTGGAGATGTAGAAAACTGATTTTTTTTCACCCAAACATGTTAAGATGAATGACTTTGCTTACAGGAACTACATGGTACTATCGTCACTGTATTCTAGCATGTCTTCCATGATTAAGTTTTTAATCTTAATATAATCAAACACAGTGATGAGTTTTTGTCTCCTAAATGTAATCTACTGTTTACATCAGTACTTGATCAAAACCAAAATCATTTGTAACCATAGTGCTCATCTCAAAGAACTTCACAGAAGCAAAATGCAGTGCTTCATTCTGTCTTTTAAGGATTGACCCAGATGATCTCTCTCAGAACAAACATAATTGGCCTTTTTGTCAAAAATGCCAGTGCACCAACATCGTGTATGTTCACACCTGCCTTCAGATTTGAGTGCCCACTGCACAGAATCTCTTCACATTCCAGAACAAAATGCTGTGATTTTTAAGGAAGCATCACTTTCTTCAAAAGATATTGCAAATATTGTGTAGATATTGCTCATGAAGTGACAAACCTCCATTTTTAGAAGGGAAGAACATATGGAGAGTGTGATTAGTGATTATCAGATCTGAACCTGGTGCACACCCATCCCACCTCCAGAAACCCCCAGCCTTTCAAGATTGTAAGAAGCATTTAAGATGCTTTGATCATTTGAAGATTAATTATACTAAGCAAACAAATGATAGCACCACTTACTGGAAAACAATAGTGTTTCTTTTCTTCTAGAAAATAATTGGGTTTTACATCTGGTTGATGTTTAGCACAGGTTAGTCCTGAACTTGTTCAGAGGAAGCTAAAAAGTTCCTAGAGATTAGCATGCAAGATCATTAAAATATCACTTGCTGCATCTCTCAAGTGAACAAACTCATTTAATTTCTGTGCTTATTGACTGAAGCACCAGAACTCAGAGCAAGATGCTCTGTCCTATTTTCAAATGTCATATATTAATTAATTAGCCCAATAACAGATTTTAAAAGATATTTAAATGTAGACCCTTAAAACAATGACTAAAGCTACTAAAGCAATAAAGAAAACAGTGAAAACGATGATTCCATTCATATTTCTCAAGAAATATCTCAAGTTTCCTAGTGGAAGTTTTGGCCACAAAAGACTTGACCTATAAACAGAAAGGCCACAAGACGATGATAGCTGAATTTGAAATAGATAGCTGGATATTCCTGCAGCTCCAACAGGAAGGGCAGTGTGGAGTCTGAGGCAACTGCAGATTATTTGCAAGTGATTGCTAATCACAGTCTAACAAAAAATGTGTTTAGTCCCATCCTCCCTGCAGAACATCAAATAGGTCTCCTCTCAAGAAAGTTCCATGCATAGCATGAGTCGCTAAAAAACACTCGGCAAGTCATCTCCCACAATTGTGCTGCATCACACACAGCCCTTTTTCCTCAGTATTTTCCTTTTTGGAATTAGCCACAACTACTCAGGTCCTGGACTGCCAACAGACATTAATCACTCCATTAAAGATGGATATTGCAGATAACACTCAGCTGAAGGAAGGGATAATCGTCTTGACAGTGCAATTCTGAGGAGTAAGACACATCTTGAGCTTACAGATTTATTAAGTTTGTGCAATCCTGACACTTGCCATGAATAAATAACTTATTTGGGGTTACAGGAATACACTTTCCCAAACATAGTTGCTGCTTATTTTGGCTTTTTTAGGAATAAGATCCTTTCCCCCCCTCCCAATACAGGGATCAGATTTTTGATCAAGACTATGGTGGAAACCTTTCTGCTGCTCCTGCAGAACACACATCAAGAAAGTCTTTGAAGGATGCTCATGCATCCTCCAAAGTAGTTTGTTCCTAAGTGCTCATATTCAGTAATATACAGTGAAACCTAGGACAGATTACTACAGCATTAAGAAAACAATATTTACTCAATCCAAAACAACTTATTGCATGTTTAAAACCAAATTACAAACCTAAAATACCTGATGAGTTCCCTACTGCTGATATTTTGGTGCAGGCTTATGAACTACTAAATTTAAACATACTTCTTACTTTAAATACAAAGCAGTCTCCCAGCTGAAAAAACTGCACACTTATTCCCAAAGCTTTTTTTTTTTTTTAAACAGTAACTCTGTACAAAGTAATATTTACAGAAATGTCATACAACTTCCATGTGTTTGTGTACAAAACATGCTTTCTGCAAACCATCATCTTGCAGTAACTCACTACTATGGCTTATCCATGGACAAAAAGGAACTCAGCTTGATGTATAATTTTTAATTTCAAATAACATAATCACCAGTAAATAAAACCTTTTCTAGAGTGTAGAGGAAAAAAGGAATGGGAGCAAGGATTCTGATACAACTCCTTCACATTTTATCTCTGGTCTCTAATGAATTGTTTAATTACTGAGTTGAAGGAAAAGATTTCATATACTGTAACACTGGACTGATGACAACTATGAGAATTAAAAACCTGTTTACCACAGTTGCCTGCAATCTTTCCTATAATAGTCTATATCAATTTCCCACACATAAGAAGTCTAGTATTAGGAAAAGCTCACAGAAGAGAGAGAGGGAATCATCAAAAAAACCCTGAAACCATTAACTGCTTTTGAAAATACTACCTTGGCACCAGAATGCCTTGAATGCACAGAGTATAACTGAATATCTAGAAACAAAAGAAATGCAAACAGCACAAAACTAGCACCAATCTGGACCTGAAGCAACTGAAGGCAACAGGCTTCCCTCAGCTGTGTAAAAAGGTATGAGAAAAAGAGTTATGAGAGACCCCTTTAACATGTTAAAGAAATGCTTAACTTTGCATTCTTTTGACAGTTTTAAGAGATACACAAAATACAGACTGTGCACACACAGCAACCACCTCTCGAAAATGCAGAGTTGGTCAGCCTAAAGATAAAGCTCGATTCATTTATGAAGAGCATTACAGGATGGGAGAGCATGTGACAGAGAATTTGAATCAATGAGTCAGGCGATCCCAGATTCTGTGCAAGGCTTTGACATAACATGGGCAAGATGCAAGAAAAGTCACCTCTCCCTTCAAATGCTTGAAAAAAATTGAGCACAAAGCTTTACAAGAAAATGCTTGTAAAATTTCAGACTAAGTATCTGTGTTTCAAACAAAATTCACTGCCTCTACAGTGCATACTCTAATCTTTTTTCCAGCCATCAAGTTGTGTTAGAGTATAACTGAATTTTTTCCCGTGTAAGGATTTTGCTGTATTCTCTCAGCTGTTTATTAAGACTGCAAAAGGGAAAAGGTTGTCTGGACAATTTTAAATGGTTAGGATTGTCACATAAAAAATGTGTTAAAGAGTGGTTTACCCTAAGTAAAAGCATGTCAAGTTCAACCCTGATTATCATTAATTCCATTGGAACTTGTTTCTGCATAACTAAAAACAAGTGAGTGTATGAAGAAGCAGGTTTGAATTTTAATAGCTACTCATGAAGGTGAACCAATGAATTAATTTGATTTTTAATGAAAACGACGAAGGTAAGGGCTTGATTTTAATTTAAGGGACAGTATCTGTCCTTCCCTTTCACTCTAAATCTTACCTTCCCCATTCAGACCATCAGACAAATATTTAAAGTTTTCGTCACAGAAGAGAACTGGGCCATATTAATTCTTTATTTGTCCTTTTTTATGGTAAAACTGGAACAACATGTGATGGGGAACAAGTCACTTTTAAGACATGCACACAGAACACCTTTCCCTTGTACCCTTAAGCTCTGCTGTCAGGGAGGTTGTGGTACATGCCCTGTGCTGTGTTTTAAAGAGAAACACCAGATATGAAAATCTGAACATGCTCCATTCATATTTATAACTTAAGTGTCCTTTCTTTCACAGTATGGTCCAAACTATTTATTCCACAGTGACTTTTAATACAACAAACTTTTAACCCTTGGGTTTGGGCTTCCTTTTAGACTTCCATTCCATCCCATGGCACAACACAGGCAGAAGCTGAGAATTAACAGCTGCATATTGAGCCACCCAAGGTGCCAACACAGGAGCAATGCCCTCTCAGGACTGCAGAGACTCAACTCCCTTTCTTACATGCTACTTCATTTATTTTACTAAGTGCACTAAATGCCACTACAAAACATAAAGATGATTGTCTGAGTCTCACAAAGTCACCTGAGTGTTTAGAATGGCTTTTGAAACTGTTCAACCCCCATGGTAAAAACCATTTTCAAGTTTCCAACCTGTTTTCTCACATTGTTCAAGCAGTCTGCTACAGGTATATACAGACATTTTAAAGTTCTACATTAAACTACTGAGCTGTTCACTAGCAAAAAGTAAAACCCTACCTTTTCAAAATAATTATTTAGTGCAGCAGAGTAAGCCTTTCCAAAGCAGCAGCTTTGCTTACAAGTCCCAGTTCACTTGAACTGCAAGCAAAAGCACTGAAAAGATTTAAGACCTTTTCAAATTGCATTGAATGTGGTTTCTGGAAGGACTTTAAAAAAAACTGTGGGGAGAAAAAAAGACATAGTAGAGAAACGGGAAAATTATTAGGATATTGTTAAATTATCCTTAGAATTGGAGTTAAGGCGATTTTTACAGAAGGAGCTCAGTGGCAGAATTGCCTAATAGTGCTGGAGATAGATTTGTTTTCTGCCTCAGCAGCAGAAATATTTCCTTTCCCAGGCATTCCCTCAATAGAAACAGTAATATAATGGCAAATAAGATTTTCTTCTTTTCATTCTCTCTCCATTCTGAACGACAAAAGAGAAATAGCCTGTACCTGACTACAGAAACCTTTTAACTCTTGTGCTCCAGCGTGAAGTACACCCAGCAAACTGAGAAAGAAACCAAGGAAACAGCTCACTTAAACAACTGATGATATTCCAAATATCCACCTGACAAGTGAGTATCAAGGTGGGAAGAAGATACAGACAGTGATGTGTGGGGAAACTCAATTTATAAACTTTCCTGGCTTCCAAAGACATAAAGTCAGAATAATTGCTTCTGATATTACAAGCTCATTCTCTAGAACAGTGAGAATCATGACAAGTTATTTTCTTATGCTTATTAAAGCTGCCTCATGATAGGTGACAGTGCCAGAATGCTGGGCTCTGTGAGGACCCGTGGAAATCTGCCCCATCCCCTGCTGACCTGTGCCCTTCCCCACTCTCTCTGAGTGAGACTTTTTGGGTCTTGGCCAGAGATTTTATTCCAAAACCTTCAGATCAGGACACTGGCTGCTCCTATTCTAAACTCAAACTAGATCATGACTTAATCTGGACAAATGTAAAGACAACCATAGATTAAGCAAAGGATGGTAAATTTTACAATTTAAAAAAAAAACAAAAACAACTTTACAAGTTTACTAGAAGATGTCTTTGGCATACAGGCTTTAAAGCCACAAAAGATGGGATTTTTGTAATAAAATAGGAAGAGCTGGTCTATTCCAAAGGTAATTTGAAAAAAGAATCAGCCAGTGAGGTGCATGAAGGCTCCTAAATTCACAAAAAGCCCATGACCAATTTTAATGACCTCAGTATTACAGTTCAGTACAACAGTTCTGTAACCAATTAGTTATTTTACGAGTGGGGAAGGATGAATAACTCCCCTTTAGGATTCAGTCCACAGTGTGAAGGTAGGATGGAATGACAGTTACTAAAAGCGTGTCTTTTCCATAGATACTTTAGATTTTCTCTTCTCTTTACATAACCACTCTGCTCCTTTTTAAGCAATCCAGCTCTAAGCCCTCAGTACATTCTCTGAGCAGCTTTGACATCTTTCAAACTCTGAGATGGTAGGAAGAGCTGTCTGCCCTTATGTATATGCTGTTTGCAATAGCCTGGTTTACAGATGCAAATTATTAAGATAATGCTGAGAAATTTAATACAACACTGGTTGATGATCTTCCGTTTGATGTCCCACAGAACTCCTGTGGGATTCAATTAGAAATAGGTAAATGCATTCAAAGAGAGTCTGGTTCCACTGTCAAATACCTTCATGCTTGTACCCTCGATATTTCAGGCAGGTTCTAAAAGTCAAAAGATTAATTTTCTGTTCTAATTACTTGTTGGATGCAACAGACAAGCACTTTCCAAGTATTTATTAATCTGTGTGGCTTTGATCTAATACCCAAGAGCTGTTTTATCTATGCTGTAATTTATTAACATACATAAATATACACTGATCATTCATGTGGTTCACAATATTGCATCTAAACACGAAAGGCATTTCCAATGAGGAAACTTCTCATTTCTCATTCATACTACAGAAGCAGCCATCACCCCCTTTTATCTGTGCCAAACATTGGGGTTTTTTTTAATTTTTGAATCTATTTCATCAACACACAAAAAGTAGTATTTTATAAACATCATTATACCAGACTCCCACATTGCTTAAACAAGCAGCAGCATTTCATCAAGGACAAGGCTGCTTTCTAGAATAAGCATTACTTAAATATCCAAATCTGTGCCATTTTAGGTTTTTTGTAATTAGCATTAACACAACAGCAGTAAGAGCAATAGAGAGGAAGTAACAAATCCACAAGAATCAGGACTGCATTAATACATTATGCTACACACACTTCCAAGTTTCAAGCCCTGTCAAGAATAATTGCTTTTGAATGCCCATTTCTCAGCTCCTTATCCTGTATCAGAATGCAGCAAACATCCTGTCAAGCTTACAAGTTAATTTCTTGCCAAGTGAATGCATTTTGCAAATTCAAACATGTTAATAGGACTTCTTTTTAACTGAAGTTACACATATTTTGAGGTTTTGAGCCAACTTTTCTATATACAACAATTTGTGCCTTTTCCAGCAATTTTCATTGACGATGCCTCTCTCTGTGAGGAGTTAGAAGTCATCAATACAGAACCAGAATAAAATTATCATTGAAAAAGGGCAGAAAACAGTGTTCTCATAGGACTGGAGCTGGCTGACACAGACAAGCAAATCTTGTCTCTGCTCCTTCAACAACTGAACGCTCAATAAATTCAACCCACAAGTGGGAATCCTGTCCTGAATCTCAATTTTGTTAAGATATTTGCAGTTAAGGCAGGAAAGCAAGGATTTATACTGGAAATCCAACAAGAGCCATCAAGGAAGGTCTCACCATCAAGCAGAGAATGAGGGTTCAGAGGAAACAACAAGTACGTGCTCCGAGAAGAGATGGAAGAATTTCCCCTCTTAACAGCAAAGAAGGGACAGTTATGTTCCACCCCAAATTCCCCATCAATTTAATACCCTAGCTTTATTAATAAAAGTAGGGAATTAACTTTGAATGGATACAGATTAAGGCAAATACCCAGAATTAGCATGAAAATCTTGTTGGCTAATATGTAATGAAGAATGCACAATTCCTTTAAACACAAGTAAGAAATACACCACATATTGTTTATACCAAACACAGTTGGGGACGTGAGCCTTTCGCCTGGGAAAACCATCTTCAAAGTAGCAACTGTTTTCCCAGCTGTGAATACTCTTTCCTGGGAAATCTATTCGTACCATTACAAAAATAATTTTCAAAGGAATGTAAAATTATTCAGCCTAATCTATGCATATCCATATTTCAGACATGATTCTGTACCTTCTTAGACATGTCTGTTTACAGAAGGCCTGCTATTCTCTATAAACACTACATGGGTGTCACAATTCAATTTACCCCCTTTTTAAAATAAATAAATGTATGCTTAATTTAATAAAATAATTTAGAGCAACTCTATCAATATTCTGATGAGGAAGTGTTAGCAGGAAACAAATGCTTCAGAGTCCCATAACCAGCTGCCCTCAAAGTTTGTTGTTTTGTGGTTGCCTGGGTTTTTTTAAATTTTCCTAATTTGAGAAATATTGCATAGATAAGAAAGCAGATAAACCAAGCAAGATATCACACAGTAAATCGTAATTGCCACATGGATTTAGAGCTTTGTAATTGCTTCCTGTAACTACCAGAAGGCCACCATACAGAGAGGCACTAAGAGCCAATGG